TAGACTATAGACTAGACTATAGACTAGACTATAGACTAGACTATAGACTAGACTATAGACTAGACTATAGACTAGACTATAGACTAGACTATAGACTAGACTATAGACTAGACTATAGACTAGACTATAGACTAGACTATAGACTAGACTATAGACTAGACTATAGACTAGACTATAGACTAGACTATAGACTAGACTATAGACTAGACTATAGACTAGACTATAGACTAGAGACTAGACTAGACTATAGACTAGACTATAGACTAGACTATAGACTAGACTATAGACTAGACTATAGACTAGACTATAGACTAGACTATAGACTAGACTATAGACTAGACTATAGACTAGACTATAGACTAGACTATAGACTAGACTATGACTAGACTATAGACTAGACTATAGACTAGACTATAGACTAGACTATAGACTAGACTATAGACTAGACTATAGACTGGACTATAGACCAGACTATGGACTAGACTATAGACTAGACTATAGACTAGACTATAGACTAGACTATAGACTAGACTATAGACTAGACTATAGACTAGACTATAGACTAGACTATAGACTAGACTATAGACTAGACTATAGACTAGACTATAGACTACACTATAGACTAGACTATCGACTACACTATAGACTAGACTATAGACTAGACTATAGACTAGACTATAGACTAGACTATACACTAGACTAGACTATAGACTAGACTATACGACTATAGACTAGACTATAGACTAGACTATAGACTAGACTATAGACTAGACTATAGACTAGATTATAGACTAGACTATAGACTAGACTATAGACTAGACTATAGACTAGACTATAGACTAGACTATAGACTAGACTATAGACTAGACTATAGACTAGACTATAGACTAGACTATAGACTAGACTATAGACTAGACTATAGACTAGACTATAGACTAGACTATAGACTAGACTATAGACTAGACTATAGACTAGACTAGACTAGACTATAGAGACTATAGACTAGACTATAGACTAGACTATAGACTAGACTATAGACTAGACTATAGACTAGACTACAGACTAGACTATAGACTAGACTATAGACTAGACTATAGACTAGACTATAGACTAGACTACAGACTAGACTATAGACTAGACTATAGACTAGACTATAGACTAGACTATAGACTAGACTATAGACTAGACTATAGACTAGACTACAGACTAGACTATAGACTAGACTATAGACTAGACTATAGACTAGACTATAGACTAGACTACAGACTAGACTATAGACTAGACTATAGACTAGACTATAGACTAGACTATAGACTAGACTACAGACTAGACTATAGACTAGACTATAGACTAGACTATAGACTAGACTATAGACTAGACTATAGACTAGACTATAGACTAGACTATAGACTAGACTACAGACTAGACTATAGACTAGACTATAGACTAGACTATAGACTAGACTATAGACTAGACTATAGACTAGACTATAGACTAGACTATAGACTAGACTATAGACTAGACTATAGACTAGACTATAGACTAGACTATAGACTAGACTATAGACTAGACTATAGACTAGACTATAGACTAGACTATAGACTAGACTATAGACTAGACTATAGACTAGACTATAGACTAGACTATAGACTAGACTATAGACTAGACTATAGACTAGACTATAGACTAGACTATAGACTAGACAATAGACTTACTATAGACTAGACTATAGACTAGACTATAGACTAGACTATAGACTAGACTATAGACTAGACTATAGACTAGACTATAGACTAGACTATAGACTAGACTATAGACTAGACTATAGACTAGACTATAGACTAGACTATAGACTAGACTATAGACTAGACTATAGACTAGACTATAGACTAGACTAGACTATAGACTAGACTATAGACTAGACTTATAGACTAGACTATAACTAGACTATGACTAGACTATAGAACTAGACTATAGACTAGAACTATAGACTAGACTATAGACTAGACTATAGACTAGACTATAGACTAGACTATAGCTAGACTATAGATAGACTATGACTGACTAAGACTAGACTAAGACTATATAGAACTAGACTATAGACTAGAATATAGACTAGACCTATAGACTAGACTATAGACTAGGACTATAGACTAGACTAAGACTAGACTATAGACTAGCTATAGCTACTATAGACTAGACTAGACTAGACAGATATAGACTAGACTATAGACTAGACTATAGACTAGACTAGAGTATAGACTAGACTATAGACTAGACTATAGACTAGACTATAGACCAGCCTATAGACTAGACTATAGACTAGACTATAGACTAGACTATAGACTAGACTATAGACTAGACTATAGACCAGACTATAGACTAGACTATAGACTAGACTAGACTATAGACTAGACTGACTATAGACTAGACTAGATAGACTAGACTAGACTAGACTAGACTAGACTAGCAGACGAGACTAGACTAGACTAGACTAGACTAGACTAGACTAGACTAGACTAGACTAGACTAGACTAGACTAGACTAGACTAGACTAGACTAGACTAGACTATAGACTAGATTAGACTATAGACTAGACTAGACTAGACTAGACTAGACTAGACTAGACTAGACTAGACTATAGACTAGACTATAGACTAGACTAGACTAGACTAGACTAGACTAGACTAGACTAGACTATAGACTAGATTAGACTATAGACTATAGACTATAGACTGGACTAGACTATAGACTAGACTAGACTATATACTAGACTAGACTGTAGACTAGACTATAGACTAGACTATAAACTAGACTATAGACTAGACTATAGACTAGACTATAGACTAGACTATAGACTAGACTATGGACTAGACTATGGACTAGACTATAGACTAGACTAGACTAGACTAGACTAGACTAGACTAGACTAGACTAGACTAGACTAGACTATAGACTAGACTATAGACTAGACTATAGACTAGACTATAGACTAGACTATAGACTAGACTATAGACTAGACTATAGACTAGACTATAGACTAGACTATAGAATAGACTATGGACTAGACTATAGACTAGACTATAGACTAGACTATAGACTAGACTATAGACTAGACTATAGACTAGACTATAGACTAGACTATAGACTAGACTATAGACTAGACTATAGACTAGACTATAGACTAGACTATAAGACTATAGACTAGACTATAGACTAGACTATGGACTAGACTATGGACTAGACTATAGACTAGACTAGACTAGACTAGACTAGACTATAGACTAGACTATAGACTAGACTATAGACTAGACTATAGACTAGACTATAGACTAGACTATAGACTAGACTATAGACTAGACTATAGACTAGACTATAGACTAGACTATAGACTAGACTATGGACTAGACTATAGACTAGACTAGACTAGACTATAGACTAGAGACTAGACTATAGACTAGACTATAGACTAGACTATACACTAGACTATACACTAGACTATAGACTATAGACTAGACTATATACTATAGACTAGCCTATAGACTAGACTATAGACTAGACTTTAGACTAGACTATAGACTAGACTATAGACTAGACTATAGACTAGACTATAGACTAGTCTATAGACTATACTATAGACTAGACTATAGACTAGACTATAGACTAGACTATAGACTAGAGTATAGACTAGACTATAGACTAGACTATAGACTAGACTATAGACTAGACTATAGACTAGACTATAGACTAGACTATAGACTAGACTATAGACTAGACTATAGACTAGACTATAGACTAGACTATAGACTAGACTATATACTAGACTATATACTAGACTATAAACTAGACTATAGACTAGACTATGGACTAGACTATGGACTAGACTATAGACTAGACTATGGACTAGACTATAGACTAGACTATAGACTAGACAATAGACTAGACTATAGACTAGACTATGGGCTAGACTAAAAACTAGACTATAAACTAGACTAGAGACTAGTCTATAGATTATTAACTAGACTATAGCTAATACTGTAGGCTAGGCTATAAATTCTTTATACTTTAGTCCAGACTATAAACTGGCTTATAGTTCAAACTTTAGCCTAGACTATAGACCAGATTATGCTGCCTAAGCTCATCTAAAATTACGGTAATAGCTAAATTATTCCAGAAGTTTTATTCATTTCATTTGCCTTCTCTTTTTATAAAAATTTCTGAAACCCTTTGCTTTCATTTGCTGCAATTAACTTAAATACATATTTCGCATGTCTTCATACCGTTTACCTTTCCCTGTCTATCTCCCAATCTTTCACTCACTTCGTTTGTGTGTGTGTAATACAAATTACATTTGATTTTCATTTGGGGACCGAAAAGGAATTTATTTAGTTTTCCACTAAAACAATGTTAAATGTACTTGTTTTGTAATACTCTTTTGTTGTTGCTTTCACTTTGTTTGCAAAAGTATTTAAAATTAGTTTCGAACTTCATGTACAGTAGGGAGTATATGTGTTGTTGTAAGGCGGAAAAGAAGTTTTTGTTATAGTTTGCCCACATGCTCCCCCAGAGGTATGTTTTAAGAGTTAATTTCAAAATTAAGTTTGAAGGTGTATATGTTTGGAGAGTTTAACTGTAGAAAATAGGAAAAATTGGGAGAGAGAGAAACAAGTTTTTAAATTAAACTTATGGAAGATCAACTTAATGAAGATGGAAGAAATGTTCTTGGTTGTAATGCTCGGGTCCTTTATTTCTTCCTGATTTACAAACCACCATCTCCCCAAAAATAGCCCCTGGTTTTAAATAAATGACTCAATTAAAATTCTAATTTGTTTTGTAGTTGTGATTTTGTGGGATTTCATTTTGTGGTTTTAAATGATTATTTTCAATTGGAGAGGGGAGGGGAAGAATCTACAGCATATACTAGCAACAACAAAACCTTTATTTCCTTTTTTAAAGTCCAAATAAAAACTAATTTTAGATTTTGATAATAAATTTTTATTTTAATTTCTAAATTTACGCAGAGCACCTCCCCGGCCCGCTAGAGAGGAAGTAGCAGCAGCTGCCGCTCCACGACGAAAACGTGAATGTGTGCCAAATTGTTTGCCAGCAGCCAACATGGCAGCAGAACCAGATATCTCATCCTTTTCGGGTAAGTGAGCCACATGTAAAATATCCCACAATAATTTGCCATTTTCTTGGGAGTCCAGCAAAGTGGAAAGTTCAGCCTTTAAAGAGAGAATTTAAAACAAAATCAACAATAAATTAAACCAAAAACCGGAACCACATACCTGAGTTTTCTTTAACAACTCCTTTAAATTACCACCATGCCTCATTAGTTTATGAACATTACGCGTATTAACACCCGGTAGACGTAAGAGGAAATCATAAATATTAGCATTAAATTTCAATTCATCATAGGCCCCCCGAATCATCACCACCCAAAGCAGCTGCCTGTTTTGGATCCGGTTCAGGTTTACCTAATTTCAGCTCTTCAAATAACTGAGCCGTTGCATAAGGACTGGGCGACCAAATGAGCCGCAGTTTTGGAAAATGTAACGTTAAAAGTTGTAATTTTTGTACTATATCGGCATTGGTGGAGCTGGTGTTCTGTGAGAGCATATATTTACCCTGCAAATGAAAGGGTTTATTCTGATCGAATTCAATGAGAAGTATGGGTTTGGCATAATAACGTTGCATTTGTATGCATTGATTGTATAGGCGGCCCGAGTTAAGAGAACCGATTAAATCGGAAATGGATTTACGTTCGACACAGATTTCGGGAGTTAAAATATAATCACCGATCTGAAAGATAAATTGAACAGAGTTAAACAATTTATATATAACTTTAGTCTAGTCAATAATCAAGAATATAGACTACTCGATAGTCAATACTATAGACTAGACAATTGTTCGGACTAAAGACTAGCCGATAGACCTGATTATAAACTTGTCGATAGTCCAGACTAGTCGACAATCCAGACTATATATTGGTCAATAGTTCAGACTTTAGACCAGTCGATAGTCCAGATTATAGACTAGTCGATATTCCAGACATTAGACTACTCGATTGTCGAAATCGAAAAAAAAAAACTTTGGACTTACCGATATCGTTACGGGAACCACTTCTATACCCCTTTTATGTATAAGACAGGGCAAATCGGAACGAAATTCACGCATGTCCACAATAACCCGAGGATTAACTTCAGCTTCAGCTTGTTTGCAAGTTTCCTGACCGCCAGCCTTACGACTTTGGGCATTAGCAGTTTCAATAGCCTCTGGGTCTTTATATGATTTAAATAATATAAAAGCCTCATCGGTTTTGCCATCCTGATACTCGGGTATAACCATTTTCTATAAAACGATCAAAAAAACATGTAATAAATTACAAATATATTATCGCTCTTAAACTTACACTTTTAGTATCAATAATCAGCTCAAAAGCCTGCTTTTCTCTTCTCAAACTCGTTAGATACGATTGTTCCTCGACCGTGCGGGCATGTATTAAAAAGAACACCTTCATACGATCCTTAGCGGCACGACGTTGGCGAGCTTCATAGATTTCCAATTGTCGGATGGCAGTCACATTACAATGATACATTATCACATACTGAGGAGTAATCTCATCTAAAATTCTCTCCAAAGCCATTGACCCCTCCTTTTCGGTCTTGAAAGTTTGTAAACATATTAAAGGTTGTTTGCGTGCTGTTATGGCAGCTGTTATATCTAGATTTTCCATTTCGGGAAAAGGTTCAAATATGGAATTATCCACAGTGGCATCGGCTCCATTACCACTGTCATTTAACAGCGATAAATCCGTATCATCAAATTGTGTTTGGGTCATGGTGAGCATATAACTTTCTTGAAAATAATTAGCTTCTGCATCATCCATATCCTGAGTTAAAAGTTGAGTTAGTTCATCGATTTGCTGGGGATTTTCTGGATCATCCATTTCAGATGATTTATCTGATTTACCGGATTTTTGTGAACTTTTCATTTGATGTTGCGTTAAGGTCATTTCCAATTCTTTGCCCGTTTGTATTTTTTCAAATGTTTTACCCAATTTTCCTATGGGAATTTGTTGACGCATAGCGGTATAGAGTAGAAAACGTTCTCCACTTTGTGTTAAAAACTGTTTGAGTTGATAACACGACCTGGTGTCTTGGCACAATATCAAAACTTTAGGTGGATCATAACAATCTGGCTTGGTACGTTTCATGTCACCGGGTATTTCCACTTTAAGGATTTCACTTAAATACTTCCATTTAGGACAGGGTTCAGGTTCAAATTCTAAAGAAAAGAAAATGTTTAAAAAAAAGCACCAAATACTTCCAAGAATTTCAAATATTATTGAAAAACTGCCTGAACAGAACGGCTACTTTATTGAGTACAAAAATTAATTGTGGTTGTCAAACCTAAAAGAGAATTGGAAAAATTAGTAACTCTACTTACCACCTTGTCCATTGTATACTCTTTCCTTGGATAGTTTAAAAATCTGTTCAGCTGAATCCAATAAAGTCCAACCTGAATTGCTTAGAGCATATTCGGTAGTGCGATAGCGTTTCATTAAAGCATAAGCACTCACAGCATCATTATACATAGTGGATCTAAAAATGAAATCAATATATACTTTAAATTAGTTATTCCCAAATACTATTTTACTTACATCATTAAATTTCTTAAAATCTTCAAATCGGCTACTATCAATTTTGTTTGCGAATTCAACTGATGCCATATACAATCCAATTGCGCTTGCAAAATCTTATGAAATTTTTTCGTAACACAATTTTCCACTGTTATCTCTTCCATATCCACTGTACGATTAATACGTTTTATTTCACGCACCAAATAGTTCATAATATCCAATATATGTGATTGTATTAATTTCATTTTTTCCGTTAACGGTACATGTAACTCTATGGTTTGTGCTTCGTAGGGTTTTAATGAAGCCTGTATGGTAGCATGAAATCTAGGCCATATAAATAGTTCTTTAACAAATAAATTGCGCATAACACGTTCAATGTGTCCGTAGCCAATAGTAAAGGCTTCGGCGCTACTAGAGAAAGCTTTAATGAAACCAGTTTTATTGCGTTGTCGGTAGAGACGTAAGGCGAAGGCTTCCTGACACGATTCAATAATGGTATGAGCTCGCAATACAATAATACCGGTTATAAGTTCTATTGGTATACGATTTTTTAAGAGATCAACTACTAAAATACGTGTGGTAATGAATTGTATGCCGCCTTCGAGGTAGACACGTTCTCTGGGAATAAAAAAATTATAATTAAGGTTAAGATTAGTCCAGAAAATACTCTGGATTAAAATATATAAATAGAGTTGTCTATAGTCCATAGTATAGACTAGTCAGTTTATAGTCCAGTATAGACTATTCTATACAGATTATAGAGTAGCCTTTTTTCCCTGAGTATAGACTAGTCTATAGTCCAGAGTATAAACTATTCTATAGTCCAAAGTATAGACTATTCTATAGTCCAGAGTATTGACTAGTCTATAGTCCATTCTATAGTCCAGAGTATAGAGTAGTCTTTAGTCCAGAGTATAGACTTATCTATTGACCAGAGTATAGACTAGAATATAGTTCAGAGTTTAGACCAGTCTATAGTCCTGAGTTTCGTTTATAGTATAGCCCGAAGTATAGACTATTCTATAGTCTAGAGTATAGACTATTCTATAGTTCAGAGTATAAACTATTCCATAGTCCAGAGTATAGACTAGAGTATAAACTAATCTTCTACAGACTAATCTAGAGTTAACTCACCTTTCTGTTGCGGTATTGGCCACTTCATGCAAATATTTCTTTTCCAACCTATTCTTATAATACTCTTCTTCCCAATCGGAATTATTTATAACCAATATTAGATTACCAGCATCGCTGTAAACTTTTAATATATTCAACACCACACGCTCATAACTTAGGCCCCTAAAGGAATAGATATCACAAGAATAATTGCAAATTTTCAATAACAAAAATCTCAACTTTTCCACAAAAACCTACTTGGCACACACCATCAGAGCATCTGCATGTACCATATCCAAGAACATTTGTTTCTCATAATCCAGTAAAACAACATCCTTGCGCATTAAATATTCCTCGGCGGTAACAATATTAGCCAAATCCTGATCTTCTTGCTTTTCTCTAGCTTCAGCGGCTTGTTTACTGCAGGAAGGTTGTTCATCTTCTGCATTAGTATTTGTGGGTAATGATGAATTATCTAAATTTTCCATTTATTGTATGATTTTTATAATTTAATACTTTTTTTGTGGCAAATTTCTTGTTTGTTTGTGAAAACCGGCAAAAATTTTGTTTTGTTTACTTTTTTTCGAACAGCTGTTTAGAGGGGTTGTGTTTTTGTTGATAAGTACTGTATAAATAAATTGTTTGTTGACATTTTGATTTGTATGTGGTTGGTGTCTTTGCTTAGGGTTGTATTTTGCTAGAGTTGTAGTAGGAGTAATTATTATTTAATAAAATTTTAAGGTATATTGTTGGATATTAAAAAAAAAATGGTAAAAAATTAATATTTTATAAACTATAAGAATTTTGTTATGAAATATAATGATTTAATAAAATTTTAAATAACTAAATGTTTAATTTAAAGAATATTCTTGGGACGTTTTGGTATTAAATACCAAAATAAAAAAGTATTATCTTTAAAAATTTAGCTTCAAATTTATTAAACAAAGAAAAATAAATTATTTAATTTTTTTATATAAATGAGTAATTTTTGATTAAATAGCACAGTGGAATAGCCAAACATAAATTAACATGTACGATATTTTTAAAGAATTTAAAACAAAACTATAGACTAGTCTAGTCTATAGATTAGTGGCTGGTATATAGTCTAGTCTATAGCCTAGTTTTTAGTCTATTCTACAGTCGAGTCTGTAGTTCAGTATATAGTCTAGACTCTAGTTTAGTCTATAATCTAGTATATGCTTCTCCAAACGTTCAAAATTGTAAAGTAACCAAACCTAAAGTTTAGCAATTATTTAGTAATCTTCCCCACTGTGCCTCCTAATCGTTCGTTTAGTTTGTACGGGAAAAAGTATTGAAGAAATTTTATACTCGTGTAATTATAAAAATCAATTTTTACAAACCTATTGCTATATATATTTATACAAATGTTTGATTCATTTAGTCTAGCTTAGTTTTTTCCTATCTTCTGATAATTCAATTTCTAATCTTTCTAAACAACAAATCAAAAAAATTAGAAAAACTTAGCGAACCTAGTGCAACAAGATCTAAGTTTAGTTCAATTTTTGAAAGTTAAAATCTATTAATTAAAAAAGAAAATATATTAAATTTATCCACAATTACTTCTTTAAAAGGGGAATCCCCGCAATATTTTATCAAGTGAAACATAGGGGAAAGTAAGAAATATATTAAACAAATACATATATTGTACAAATTATACGCAGCAAGAAAAAATGCTATTTAACTCTTTTAAAAAAATAACAAAAATTCAAATGGTTAGTCATCAATTTTACGCCTGTTAAACTGAAATGTAACAGTGGTACGGATGAAAATAAAAATAGGTTAGATTTATTTATATGCAATTTAGAAACTTTAAAAAAGAGTAAGCTACTAGTACAGTGCATAGTTAAGTCTGTAGTACAATCTATAATCGTTAGTTTAGACTATAGTTTGGTTAAAGTCTATATTCTAGTCTATAGTCTAGTAGATAGTCTAGTCAATAGTCTAGTCTATAGTCTTATCTATAGTCCAATCTATAATCTAGTCTACTCTGTAGTCTACACTGTAGTCTATACTATAATCTATAGTTTGAATATAGTTTGGTTAAAGTCTATATTCTAGTCTATAGTCTAGTCTATAGTCTAGTCTATAGTCTAGTCTATAGTCTAGTCTATAGTCTAGTTTATAGTCTAGTCTATAGTCTAGTCTATAGTCTAGTCTATAGTCTAGTCTATAGTCTAGTCTATAGTCTAGTCTATAGTCTAGTATATAGTCTAGTCTATAGTCTAGTCTATAGTCTAGTCTATAGTCTAGTCTATAGTCTAGTCAATAGTCTAGTCTATAGTCTAGTCTATAGTCTAGTCGTCTCTAGTCTAGTCTATAGTCTACTCTATAGTCTAGTCTATAGTCTACTCTATAGTCTAGTCTATAGTCTAGTCTATAGTCTACTCTATAGTCTAGTCTATGTCTAGTCTATAGTCTACTCTATAGTCTAGTCTATAGTCTAGTCTATAGTCTAGTCAATAGTCTAGTCTATAGTCTAGTCTATAGTCTAGTCTATAGTCTAGTCTATAGTCTAGTCTATAGTCTAGTCTATAGTCTAGTCTAGTCTAGTCTATAGTCTTGTCTATAGTCGAGTCTATAGTCTAGTATATAGTCTAGCCTATAGTCTTGTCTATAGTCTAGTCTATAGTCTAGCCTATAGTCTTGTCTATAGTCTAGTCTATAGTCTAGTCTATAGTCTAGTCTATAGTCTAGTCTATAGTCTAGTCTATAGTCTAGCTCTATAGTCTCTAGTCTATAGTCTAGTCTATAGTCTAGTCTATAGTCTAGTCTATAGTCTAGTCTATAGTCTAGTCTATAGTCTAGTCTATAGTCTAGTCTATAGTCTAGTCTATAGTCTAGTCTATAGTCTAGTCTATAGTCTAGTCTATAGTCTAGTCTATAGTCTAGTCTATAGTCTAGTCTATAGTCTAGTCTATAGTCTAGTCTATAGTCTAGTCTATAGTCTAGTCTAGTCTATAGTCTAGTCTAGTCTATAGTCTAGTCTAGTCTATAGTCTATAGTCTAGTCTAGTCTAGTCTAGTCTATAGTCTAGTCTAGTCTAGTCTATAGTCTAGTCTAGTCTATAGTCTAGTCTAGTCTATAGTCTAGTCTAGTCTATAGTCTAGTCTAGTCTAGTCTATAGTCTAGTCTAGTCTAGTCTATAGTCTAGTCTATAGTCTAGTCTATAGTCTAGTCCATAGTCTAGTCTATAGTCTAGTCTATAGTTTAGTCTATAGTCTAGTCTATAGTCTTGTCTATAGTCTTGTCTATAGTCTAGTCTATAGTATAGTATAGAAAGATAAATATGTATGTAAAACAAAATTTTGTTTTTATCGTTAAAATTTATTATCAAATAATATTTTGTAACAAGTAACCAATAAACGATTATATAGTTCAACATGATAAGGAAAATTTCAATAAGATCTTTACAGGGTTAGCTGAGCAATAAGCCTTATAAAATAATATATTGCAAATCTCAATTCTTCATTGCAAATTTAAAAAAAACAAATCTGCAGATTATAAACTTTCACATTGGAAATATATATAATTTTAAATGGTTCCTGCTTTGTTAATGGTTCTTTTAAATATTGTCTTCTTGATTTCATTGCTCCAATTTAAAATAATTATATTTCAAGGGATGATATCACATCAAACATTGTACTCTGGGGGACTACCCTATCAGTTATATATGTAGATTTCATATAATATCTTCATAGCATATAAAAGAAAGAACATGGTATGTGAATAGGTTTAGTTTAGGTTTTTCTAAGAATCACCCATCTCTTGGACCCACTCTTTTGACGAAAGTGAGAAGAATTACTCTGCCCACAACAAACGTCTCAGTTTAACCATTTCGTGCATCATTCTTCGATAGAGAAAAACGCCAGATAAAAAAAGAAATATTTTGCTTAAAATTTTATTAAAGGGGAACATTTTTACCACAACTATAGACTAAAGTATGGACTAGACTATAGACTAGGCTATAGTAGACTATAGACTAGACTATAGACTAGGCTATAGATTAGACTATAGACTAGAACATGGACTAGAACATAGACTAGACTATAGACTACACTATAGACTAGACTAGACTAAAGACTAGACTAAAGACTAGACTAAAGACTAGACTAAAGACCAGACTATAGACAAGACTATAGACAAGATTATAGACTAGACTATAGACTAGACTATAGACTAGACTATAGACTAGACTATAGACTAGACTATAGACTAGACTATAGACTAGACTATAGACTAGACTATAGACTAGACTATAGACTAGACTATAGACTAGACTATAGACTAGACTATAGACTAGACTATAGACTAGACTATAGACTAGACTATAGACTAGACTATAGACTAGACTATAGACTAGACTATAGACTAGACTATAGACTAGACTATAGACTAGACTATAGACTAGACTATAGACTAGACTATAGACTAGACTATAGACTAGACTATAGACTAGACTATAGACTAGACTATAGACTAGACTATAGACTAGACTATAGACTAGACTATAGACTAGACTATAGACTAGACTATAGACTAGACTATAGACTAGACTATAGACTAGACTATAGACTAGACTATAGACTAGACTATAGACTAGACTATAGACTAGACTATAGACTAGACTATAGACTAGACTATAGACTAGACTATAGACTAGACTATAGACTAGACTATAGACTAGACTATAGACTAGACTATAGACTAGACTATAGACTAGACTATAGACTAGACTAGACTATAGACTAGACTATAGACTAGACTATAGACTAGACTATAGACTAGACTATAGACTAGACTATAGACTAGTCTATATTCTAGACTATAGACTAGACTATAGACTAGACTATAGACTAGACTATAGACTAGACTATAGACTAGACTATAGACTAGACTATAGACTAGACTATAGACTAGACTATAGACTAGACTATAGACTAGACCATAGACTAGACTATAGACTAGACTATAGACTAGACTATAGACTAGACTATAGACTAGACTATAGACTAGACTATAGACTAGACTATAGACTAGACTATAGACTAGACTATAGACTAGACTATAGACTAGACTATAGACTAGACTATAGACTAGACTATAGACTAGACTATAGACTAGACTATAGACTAGACTATAGACTAGACTATAGACTAGACTACAGACTAGACTATAGACTAGACTATAGACTAGACTATAGACTAGACTATAGACTAGACTATAGACTAGACTATAGACTAGACTATAGACTAGACTATAGACTAGACTATAGACTAGACTATAGACTAGACTATAGACTAGACTATAGACTAGACTATAGACTAGACTATAGACTAGACTATAGACTAGACTATAGACTAGACTATAGACTAGACTATAGACTGGATTATAGACTAGACTATAGTCTAACACTATAGACTAGACTATAGACTAGACTATAGTCTACACTATAGACTAGACTATAGACTAGACTATAGACTAGACTATAGACTTGACTATGACTAGACTATAGACTAGACTATAGACTGGGATTATAGACTAGACTATAGTCTACACTATAGACTAGACTATAGACTAGACTATAGACTTGACTATAGACTAGGACTATAGACTAGACTATAGACTAGACTATAGACTAGGACTATAGACTAGACTATAGACTAACTATGACTAGACTATAGACTAGGACTATAGACTAGATTACAGACTAGACTATAGACTAGACTACAGACTAGACTATAGACTAGACTATAGACTAGACTATAGACTAGACTATAGACTAGACTATAGACTAGACTATAGACTAGACTATAGACTAGACTATAGACTAGACTATAGACTAGACTATAGACTAGACTACAGACTAGACTATAGACTTGACTATAGACTAGACTATAGACTAGACTATAGACTAGACTAGACTAGACTATAGACTAGACTATAGACTAGACTGTAGACTAGACTATAGACTAGACTATAGACTAGACTACAGACTAGACTATAAAATAGACTATATGCTAAAAAATATTATCCATAAACAGTGGTGCTAATTTGGTGCTTAAAAAATCTTTTAACTGATAAAAATGTGATATTACAATTCTCTTCAGACCATGTAAAAGTCAGCACTTGCCTAATTTGTTAATAATTTTATTCTTCTCTAAATATATTGATTAATTATAAAGTGAGTTATCGTGCTGATATTGTTTGTAAAAAGTTGACATTACTAATTGTAAATGTATGAAAATGTGTATTAGTGTAACGATTGGGAAATTACCGGTTTTCATGATTTTTTACTATATAAAAATTGTTTATATGTGGATTCTACTCAGTCTAGCGGTTTCGTTGAGCGAGTAAAGATCTTAAAGGATCGTAGTGATTGTAAATAAGTGAAAATTTTTTGAATCTTTAAAAGAGACCAAAAAAACGAGATGTTTTTTTATTTAATTTAATTAAACAAAATTTCTGAGAAAATAAAACTATATAAATGTTTTGTGATAAAGAGAATAAGAATATAATTTATTATTATAATAATAAAAGTGCCATTGGTACTAGTGTCTGGTGGTGTAGTTGGCGTTAGAAATTACAATTCTATTTACTTATTGAGTAGTTTTTGTTGAAAATCTACTAGATTAAGAGATAAAAACGTTTTAGTGATCAAAGTGATAGTAAACATTTCGCCACTGATTGTAATAGATCTTGCGCTCGTGTTCTCTAAACATATATACTCTTAAATGGCGGCATTAGAAAAAGAATCAGAGGTAAATTAAATTATATTTAATTAAATAAAACACTAAGGCCTTTATAGAAAATATAAAATAAATAAAAAATGTTTAAGAACTTTTTGAAAATAAGAAATTTTTCGATATATTTAAAAAATATTTATTGCAAAAAACCAAAATTTCGATAATTATTTTACAATTTTTCATCTTTATCACCCCATTGTGCAACTACTTAATAGTGAAAAATGGATTATTTATAATACCCATTTTGTAGGAGTATGCAAACCCTTTATTATAATGATAAATGCAATTCCAAACCACAAGATAAATAAATGCAATAGTCATTTAAATTTTTTTTTTCTTGATTTCTCCCCCAACCGAAGTTAACTCTTATCTGAAATATCCCCTCAAATTTCATAATTACTCGATCAACGTCTGTTACAATTTATGCCAAGACGGTCTAAGTTAGTAAAAATAAATGGGGAAAAACAATTTGAATTAAAAATTTACATACAAAGTAAATTAAAACAAAAGGAATTACACTGTTTCCGTGATTAATAAATAAAATTTAAAAAGAAAGAATATGAAAAAATTTCGCAACTGGAAACCTGTCAGAATTTGATGAATTTCTTAGTTAGTTAGTAAGTTAGTTAGTAAGTAAGTAAGTAAGTAAGTAAGTAAGTAAGTAAGTAAGTAAGTAAGTAAGTAAGTAAGTAAGTAAGTAAGTAAGTAAGTAAGTAAGTAAGTAAGTAAGTAAGTAAGTAGTAAGTAAGTAAGTAAGTAAGTAAGTAAGTAAGTAAGTAAGTAAGTAAGTAAGTAAGTAAGTAAGTAAGTAAGTAAGTAAGTAAGTAGTAAGTAAGTAAGTAAGTAAGTAAGTAAGTAAGTAAGTAAGTAAGTAAGTAAGTAAGTAAGTAAGTAAGTAAGTAAGTAAGTAAGTAAGTAAGTAAGTAAGTAAGTAAGTAAGTAAGTAAGTAAGTAAGTAAGTAAGTAAGTAAGTAAGTAAGTAAGTAAGTAAGTAAAGTAAGTAAGTAAGTAAGTAAGTAAGTAAGTAAGTAAGTAAGTAAGTAAGTAAGTAAGTAAGTAAGTAAGTAAGTAAGTAAGTAAGTAAGTAAGTAAGTAAGTAAGTAAGTAAGTAAGTAAGTAAGTAAGTAAGTAAGTAAGTAAGTAAGTAAGTAAGTAAGTAAGTAAGTAAGTAAGTAAGTAAGTAAGTAAGTAAGTAAGTAAGTAAGTAAGTAAGTAAGTAAGTAAGTAAGTAAGTAAGTAAGTAAGTAAGTAAGTAAGTAAGTAAGTAAGTAAGTAAGTAAGTAAGTAAGTAGTAAGTAAGTAAGTAAGTAAGTAAGTAAGTAAGTAAGTAAGTAAGTAAGTAAGTAAGTAAGTTAAGTAAGTAAGTAAGTTAGTTAGTTAGTAGTTAGTTAGTTAGTTAGTTAGTTAGTTAGTTAGTTAGTTAGTTAGTTAGTTAGTTAGTTAGTTAGTTAGTTAGTTAGTTAGTTAGTTAGTTAGTTAGTTAGTTAGTTAGTTAGTTAGTTAGTTAGTTAGTTAGTTAGTTAGTTAGTTAGTTAGTTAGTTAGTTAGTTAGTTAGTAGTTAGTTAGTTAGTTAGTTAGTTAGTTAGTTAGTTAGTTAGTTAGTTAGTTAGTTAGTTAGTTAGTTAGTAGTTAGTTAGTTAGTTAGTTAGTTAGTTAGTTAGTTAGTTAGTTAGTTAGTAGTTAGTTAGTTAGTTAGTTAGTTAGTTAGTTAGTTAGTTAGTTAGTAGTTAGTTAGTTAGTTAGTTAGTTAGTTAGTTAGTTAGTTAGTTAGTTAGTTAGTTAGTTAGTTAGTTAGTTAGTTAGTAGTAGTTAGTTAGTTAGTTAGTTAGTTAGTAGTTAGTTAGTTAGTTAGTTAGTTAGTTAGTTAGTTAGTTAGTAGTTAGTTAGTTAGTTAGTTAGTTAGTTAGTTAGTAGTTAGTTAGTTAGTAGTTAGTTAGTTAGTAGTTAGTTAGTTAGTTAGTTAGTAGTAGTTAGTTAGTTAGTTAGTTAGTTAGTTAGTTAGTTAGTTAGTTAGTTAGTTAGTTAGTAGTTAGTTAGTTAGTTAGTTAGTTAGTAGTTAGTTAGTTAGTTAGTTAGTTAGTTAGTTAGTTAGTTAGTTAGTTAGTTAGTTAGTTAGTTAGTTAGTTAGTTAGTTAGTTAGTTAGTTAGTTAGTAGTTAGTTAGTTAGTTAGTTAGTTAGTTAGTTAGTTAGTTAGTTAGTTAGTTAGTTAGTTAGTTAGTTAGTTAGTTAGTTAGTTAGTTAGTTAGTTAGTTAGTTAGTTAGTTAGTTAGTTAGTTAGTTAGTAGTTAGTTAGTTAGTTAGTTAGTTAGTTAGTTAGTTAGTTAGTTAGTTAGTTAGTAGTTAGTTAGTAGTTAGTTAGTTAGTTAGTTAGTTAGTTAGTTAGTTAGTAGTTAGTTAGTTAGTTAGTTAGTTAGTTAGTTAGTTAGTTAGTTAGTTAGTTAGTTAGTTAGTTAGTTAGTTAGTAGTTAGTTAGTTAGTTAGTTAGTAGTTAGTTAGTTAGTTAGTTAGTTAGTAGTTAGTTAGTTAGTTAGTTAGTTAGTAGTTAGTTAGTTAGTTAGTTAGTTAGTTAGTTAGTTAGTAGTTAGTTAGTAGTTAGTTAGTTAGTTAGTTAGTTAGTTAGTTAGTTAGTTAGTTAGTTAGTTAGTTAGTTAGTTAGTTAGTAGTTAGTTAGTTAGTTAGTTAGTTAGTTAGTTAGTTAGTTAGTTAGTTAGTTAGTTAGTTAGTTAGTTAGTTAGTAGTTAGTTAGTTAGTTAGTTAGTTAGTTAGTTAGTAGTTAGTTAGTTAGTAGTTAGTTAGTTAGTTAGTTAGTTAGTTAGTAAGTTAGTTACTTGGATGTATGTTACATCAAATTCAAAGAAATACACCTAGGCCTTCATCGGACCTGCGACCTTTTCGTGTGTCTCTGGGAGAATAGAACCCGTCACATCCGTCAATATTCTTTATAAAAATTTTTCAGAGTCGGTCCGATTTCCTTTTAAAAATTTTGTCTGAATCTGACTGATTTTCTTTCCAGCAAAATTGTCTGTCCGATTTGTAAGATTTTTTATAGAATATTCATTGGAATCTGTTAGATATTCTTTATTACAAGTTTATCAGAATCTGTTAAGTTTTCTTAAAGGAAATTACTGAGAAAATATGGTTGAATCTAAAGTTTAACATCCTGTATTGCTATTTTTAGTCGGACACTATGTACGACGACATATTGCCCACCAAAATTAATCCCCGCCAAAAAGCAAATATATTCTCACAACTTATATTTGCCTGGATTATACCCCTGCTATATAAAGGATCTAAGCAGGGGCTCAGAGAAGAAGATCTGCCAAAATGTTTGCCTGATGATGAGAGTAAAGTATTGGGTGATAAATTGGAAAGGTAATAAACTCTTATTATGTCAGATTTAGAATTTATTAATATTTTTCTTTTTCTAATCTACTTAGACACTGGCGCCAAGAATTACTGACTCACGAAATGTCAGGCCGTAAACCTAGCTTAAGACGTGCTCTCTGGAAAACCATTTGGCCTTCGGCGGTGATTGATGGTTCTATATGTCTCTTCTATATAATGTTAAAGTAATTTAATTAAAAAAAACCTAAACAAATCAAACAATTCTAATGATATCGTATTATTTTCTCACCCAAAACAGATCTTTAATACCTCTATCACTGGCTCAATTACTTATAGAATTGCAAAATACACAAACTAGCCTAGACTCCCTTAATCACTTGAGTACTACAGATGATCTCAATAAAACCATACAAGATGATAATAAAAGTAATCTCAAAATAAGTAATCAAAATACTCAGTTAATTGATGCTCAAGAGAGTGAAAATTGGTTTTGGTTTTGGCATGATATTTATGTGTTGGGTGCGATATTGGTGGGCTCTACCTTTATAGGTTGTTTTATTAATCATCATGTGGATCAGAGACAAAAGCGCATGGGAGCCAAAATGAGAATTGCCTGTTGTTCTCTTATACTGAGAAAGGTGAGCCACAATAGAAAACTCTCTTAATTATTTGTTTACACTTTTCTTTTTCCACAGTCCACTAAATTATCTTTGAAAACTGCCGGTGATATTTCAGTGGGTCATATAGTCAATCTTATATCCAACGATGTTAATCGTTTGGATATTGGTTTTGTTTTTGCCCATTATCTCTGGATACTGCCCATTCAAACTGTATTGATTGTCTATCTCATTTGGTTGCGTTTGGGTTATGCCGCCATAATCGGCGTTGTAGCCCTGCTCTTACAAACTATACCGGTACAAATCTATTTAAGCACTTGGACCGCCAAATTGCGTAATAGTACTGCCAATCGTACCGATGCCCGAATTGGTATAATGAACGAACTTATACGCGGCATACAAGTCATTAAAATGTACGCCTGGGAAATCTGTTTTCAAAAGGTGGTCAAAGAATCTAGGCGCCTGGAAATACGTGAAACTCGTAAAGCTGCCTATATGAAAAGTTTTTACTTGAGCAGCATGATTTTACCCGAACGTTTGACATTGTTTATTACCATTGTAGCGGCTGTTCAAATAGGCACGATTATCTCAGCCGATGCCATATTTTCTATAGCCAATCTTTATCATGTTTTTCAACTTGTGGCGGGCATATTTTGTCCTATGGCTATATCGTTTGCCTCGGAAGCTTTTGTTTCGATAGCGCGTGTGGAGGAATTTTTGAAAAAGCCTGAAATAGAAAGTATTCCGAGACGTTTGCCACACTCCAATAATGCAGTTGAAATTGAAAATGTTACCGCTTCCTGGGATGCCAGCAAGCCAACGCTCAGAAATATTAGTTTGGTAGTGCCCAAGGGAAAATTGTGTGTTATAGCAGGACCCGTAGGATCAGGAAAGGTAAGTTAAAGGATTATTAATAATTGATCGGAGTCCGGCATAGTCTATAGTCTAATCTATAGTCTAGTCTATAGTCTAGTCTATAGTCTAGTCTATAGTCTAGTCTATAGTCTAGTCTATAGTCTAGTCTATAGTCTAGTCTATAGTCTAGTCTATAGCCTAGTCTATAGTCTAGTCTATAGTCTAGTCTATAGTCTAGTCTATAGTCTAGTCTATAGTCTAGTCATAGTCTAGTCTCTAGTCTAGTCTATAGTCTAGTCTATAGTCTAGTCTATAGTCTAGTCTATAGTCTAGTCTATAGTCTAGTCTATAGTCTAGTCTATAGTCTAGTCTATAGTCTAGTCTAAGTCTATAGTCTAGTCTATAGTCTAGTCTATAGTCTAGTCTATAGTATAGTCTATTGTCTAGTCTATAGTCTAGTCTATAGTCTAGTCTATAGTCTAGTCTATAGTCTAGTCTATAGTCTAGTCTATAGTCTAGTCTATAGTCTAGTCTATAGTCTAGTCTATAGTCTAGTCTATAGTCTAGTCTTTAGTCCAGTCTATAGTCTAGTCTATAGTCTAGTCTATAGTCTAGTCTTTAGTCCAGTCTATAGTCTTGTCTATAGTCTTGTCCATAGTCTTGTCTATAGTCTAGTCTATAGTCTAGTCTATAGTCAGTCTATAGTCAGTCTATAGTCTAGTCTATAGTCTAGTCTATAGTCTAGTCTATGGTCAAGCCTATAGTCTAGTCTATAGTCTTGTCTATAGTCTAGTCTATAGTCTTGTCTATAGTCTTGTCTATAGTCCTTGTCTATAGTCTAGTCTATAGTCTAGTCTATAGTCAGTCTATAGTCTAGTCTATAGTCTAGTCTATAGTCTAGTCTATAGTATAGTCTAGTCTATAGTCTAGTCTATAGTCTAGTCTATAGTCTAGTCTATAGTCTAGTCTATAGTCTAGTCTATAGTCTAGTCTATAGTCTAGTCTATAGTCTAGTCTATAGTCTAGTCTATAGTCTAGTCTATAGTCTAGTCTATAGTCTAGTCTATAGTCTAGTCTATAGTCCAGTATATAGTCTTGTCTATAGTCTTGTCTATAGTCTTGTCTATAGTCTAGTCTTCAGTCTAGTCTATAGTCTAGTCCATATTCTATTCTGTATAGTCTAGTCTATAGTCTAGTCTATAGTCTAGTCTATAGTCTAGTCTATAGTCTAGTCTATAGTCTAGTCTATAGTCTAGTCTATAGTCTAGTCTATAGTCTAGTCTATAGTCTAGTCTATAGTCTAGTCTATAGTCTAGTCTATAGTCTAGTCTAGTCTATAGTCTAGTCTATAGTCTAGTCTATAGTCTAGTCTATAGTCTAGTCTATAGTCTAGTCTATAGTCTAGTCTATAGTCTAGTCTATAGTCTAGTCTATAGTCTAGTCTATAGTCTAGTCTATAGTCTAGTCTATAGTCTAGTCTATAGTCTAGTCTATAGTCTAGTCTATAGTCTAGTCTATAGTCTAGTCTATAGTCTAGTCTATAGTCTAGTCTATAGTCTAGTCTATAGTCTAGTCTATAGTCTAGTCTATAGTCTAGTCTAGTCTATAGTCTAGTCTATAGTCTAGTCTAGTCTAGTCTATAGTCTAGTCTATAGTCTAGTCTATAGTCTAGTCTATAGTCGTATAGTCCAGTATATAGTCTTGTCTATAGTCTGTCTATAGTCTTGTCTATAGTCTAGTCTATAGTCTAGTCTATAGTCTAGTCTATAGTATAGTCTAGTCTATAGTCTAGTCTATAGTCTAGTCTATAGTCAGTCTATAGTCTAGTCTATAGTCTAGTCTATAGTCTAGTCTATAGTCTAGTCTATAGTCTAGTCTATAGTCTAGTCTATAGTCTCGTCTATAGTCTAGTCTATAGTCTAGTCTATAGTCTAGTCTATATGTCTAGTCCTATAGTCCTAGTCTATAGTCTAGTCTATAGTCTAGTCTATAGTCCTAGTCTATAGTCTAGTCTATAGCTAGTCTATAGTCTAGTCTATAGTCTAGTCTATAGTCTAGTCTATAGTCTAGTCTCTAGTTTGTCTATAGTTAGTCTATAGTTATAGTCTATAGTTTAGCTCTATAGTCTAGTCTATAGTCTAGTCTATAGTCTAGTCTATAGTCTAGTCTATAGTCTAGTCTATAGTCTAGTCTATAGTCTAGTCTATAGTCTAGTCTATAGTCTAGTCTATAGTCTAGTCTATAGTCTAGTCTAGTCTAGTCAATAGTTTAGTCTATAGTCTAGTCATAGTTAGTCTATAGTCTAGTCTATAGTCTAGTCTATAGTCTAGTCTATAGTCTAGTCTATTGTCTAGTCTATAGTCTAGTCTATGGTCTAGTCTATAGTCTAGTCTATAGTCTAGTCTATAGTCTAGTCTATAGTCTAGTCTATAGTCTAGTCTATAGTCTAGTCTATAGGCTTGTCTATAGTCTAGTCATTAGGCTCGTCTATAGTCTACACTATAGTCTAGTCTAGTCAGACAGATTTTCTTTATAGAGTTTTGTCCCTAGTTTTAGCAAATTTTCTCTTCCAAATTATCTTTAGAGCTCCCTGCTACAACTAATTTTGGGTGAACTTAATGCCGATCAGGGTTCTATTAAAGTTGAGGATGACATTTCCTATGCCTCTCAAGAACCTTGGCTGTTTAGTGGAACCATCAAGAAAAATATTCTATTCACAGCACCATATAAAGAAAACCATTACAAAGAAGTCGTCGAAAAATGTTCACTTATACCAGATTTCGGACAATTACACTATAAAGATAATACCCTAGTGGGGGAGCGGGGAGCAGCATTGTCGGGCGGCCAGAAAGCTCGTATTAATTTGGCACGTGCTGTTTATAATCAATCATCCACCTATCTTTTTGATGATCCCTTAAGTGCGGTAGATGCCAATGTAGGTCGTAATCTATATGAACAGGTGATAGGACCAAGAGGTCTATTACAAGACAAAACTAGAATATTGGTTACCCATCAAACACAATATATAACCGAGGAAGCTGATCTAATAGTTTGGGTCGAAGAGGGCGGTATTAGAAGCGGCAATTTTGCAGACATGCATGAAATTATAGCATCACAAGTATTAAGGGATGACAAGAAAATTGAAAATGAAATGCAGAAACAGATGGCAAATGGAGAAGCAAAAGTGGAACGTGAAGAGGAGGAACCTAAAGAATCGGATGCTTTGCTAAATGGCAAGGTATTATTTTATATAATTTCAAATAAAGAAGTAACTAAAATTTGTATTTCCTGTTCAAGTTAAATGATAAGGAACTGGCAAATGATAAAGAACAAGTAGTATCCGAAGATCAGGGTAATGGCTGTGTTAAGGCCAGTGTTTGGTGGGCTTATTTTCATGCTGGCAATAGTGTTTGTGGTCTGATATTTATAACATTTGTTTTAATCATTTCTCAAGCCGTCTGCAGTGGTGCCGATTATTTTGTTAATATTTATACAAAAATTGTTTTCATGGATAGTCATAATCAGGATGCTTTAATATCGGAGGAATTGTGCTTGATCATTTATAGTATACTCATAGTGGCAGCTATATTTGTAAGTCCCTTTTTACTTCAAAATCGTACGAATTTTATAATAAAATCTTTTTTTACCCGCAGATGATCATTTTTCGCTGTTATTTGTTTTTGAAAACCTGCATGCATGCCTCCAAAGTCCTGCACGATCGCATGTTTGGTTGTATACTAAAGGCCACCATGCGGTTCTTCGATACTAATCCCTCGGGCCGCATTTTAAATCGTTTCTCTAAGGATATGGGTGCCATTGATGAAAGTTTACCACGTTTTATGTCTGAATTTACTCATTTGGCATTGGTGATGTTGGGTGTTTTGGTAGTGATCTGCATTGTTAATCCTTTACTTTTGGTGGCAGTGGTTGCAGTGGGTCTGGTGGATTTTGTGATTATTAAGTTGTATTTGCGTTCTTCGCAGGATCTTAAACGTTTGGAAGGAATACGTAAGTTAAAATATACATATAGTAATTTATTAGACTTGACCATATACTAGACTATATACTGGACTATAGACAACATTATACATTCTAGACCAGACCAGACTAGACTGCAGATTATAGACTCAACGAAGGACTAGACTATAGACTCGACTAAAGACTGAGCTATAGACTATAGTCTAGTCTCAACTATAGAAAAAACTTTAGTCTAAATTATAGCCCATAATATCAACCAGACTATAGACTAGATTATAGTTCAGACTATAAACTAGACTATCGACTATTCTATAGTCCAGACTATACTGTAGTCCAGACTGTATTAGAGTTCAAAATATCGACTATAAACCAGTCTATAGTCTAGTCTAAAGCCTAGTCTATTATCTAGTATATAGTCTATAGTATAGTCGATAGTCTGGTCTATAGTCCGCTCAATAGTCTAGTCTATATTCTAGTCTATAGCCAAGTATATTGTATAGTCTAGTCTTAAGTCTATTCTATAATCTAGTCTAGACTATTTATAGTCTAGTCTATATATAGTCTAGTCTATATAGTCTAGTCTATATAGTCTAGTCTATATAGTCTAGCCTAGTCTCTAGTCTCGTCTATAATCTGCACTATAATCGAGACTATAGTTCGTTCTTTCATCTGGTCTATAGCCTTGCCTGTGGTCTTTTTAAATAATAATCTATAATTATCCTTTAGGTCGCAGTCCTGTCTTTTCGCATGTCTCAGCCACTTTAAGTGGTTTGTCCACGATACGTTCCCGCAAACGTCAAAATAATATGATTGCCGAATTCGACAATCTACAGGACATACACAGCGCTGCCTATCATCTAACATTGACATCAAACACTGCCTTGGGTCTGTGGCTGGACTGTGCCAATGTCTCTATACTACTCAATTCGGTAACATTTTCCTTTATACTACTCAATGATAATGGTAAGTCTGAGAGAATAGAGATAACTTTCCCCATTAATTTGTACCTAATTTGAATTCTTCGAATCTTAGGTACCTATAGCGGTAATGTTGGTCTGGCTATTACCCAAGCTATGATGCTAACGGGTATGGTTCAATATGGTTTGCGTCAACTAGGCGAAGCCTTTCAACAAATGACCAGTGTGGAACGTATTTTGGAATATACGAAATTGCAACAGGAAAAAACAAGTGGACAAAAACCTGCCGAAAAATGGCCCAATGCCGGAGTTATCAAATATAATGAAGTGAATGTACGTTACCATGAGAATGGTCAATTGGTGTTGAAAGATCTTAATTTTGCCATAGATTCTGGTTGGAAAATTGGTATAGTGGGTCGTACGGGAGCGGGTAAAACTTCATTGATATCCTCACTATTCCGTTTATCGGATTGCATTACGGGTAGCATTATCATAGATGGTCGGGATACAAGTGATGTTGACTTAACCATGTTACGTTCTAGTCTTTCGATTATACCACAGGAACCGGTACTCTTTAAGGGTACTATACGTTATAATCTGGATCCATTTAATAAATACAAAGATAATGAAATGTGGGAGGCTTTGAGAAATGTAAGACTTTAATTAAGGTTATATATCAGTTATAGGATATATTAACTTGAATTTTTTGACAGGTTCAATTGGGTCGTGATTTGCCTTTGGATTTTGAGGTTACTGAATATGGCAGTAATCTTAGTATTGGTCAACGGCAATTGATCTGTTTGGCAAGAGCTTTATTGGGTCATAACTCTATTTTGGTTATGGATGAGGCCACCGCAAATGTTGATCAAAAGTGAGTGCAAATGTAATAATAAAACTACTGACTCCAGACTATACTCTGGACTATGGGCTAGACCATAGACTATAGACTGGACTATAGGCTAGACTATAGACTGGACTATAGGCAAGACTATAGACTGGACTATAGGCTAGACTATAGACTGTACTACAGGCTAGACTATAGACTGGACTATAGGCTAGACTACAGACTGGACTATAGGCTAAACTATAGACTGGACTATAGGCTAGACTATAGACTGGACTATAGGCTGGACTATAGACTGGACTATAGGCTAGACTATAGACTGGACTATAGGCTAGACTATAGACAGACTATAGACTAGATTATAGACTAGACTATAGACTACACTTTAGACTAGACTATAGACTAGACTGTAGACTAGACTATAGACTAGATTATAGACTAGACTGTAGACTAGACTATAGACTAGACTATAGACTAGACTATAGACTAGACTATAGACTAGACTATAGACTAGACTATAGACTAGACTATAGACTAGAGTATAGACTAGACTATTCTAACGTCCTAACTAAATTCTAGTTTATAGTATAAACAATTTACTGTTTATTTTATTAATTTTATATTTTCCCGCTTCAGCACTATAGTCTAGACTATAGACTGAAATTTAGTCTAAACTATAGTCTGAACTATAGTCCAGACTATACTCTGGACTATAGGTTAGACTGTAGACTAGACTACAGACTGAACTATATTTATACAGTACCAGACTATACTCTGGACTATAGGCTAGACTATAGACTGGACTATAGGCTAGACTATAGAGTAGACTATAGACTAGATTATAGACTAGATTATAGACTAGATTATAGACTAGATTACAGACTAGACTGTAGACTAGGCTAGACTATAGACTGGACTATAGGCTAGACTATAGACTGGACTATAGACTGGACTATAGGCTAGACTATAGACTGGACTATAGACTGGAATATAGGCTAGACTATAGACTGGACTATAGGCTAGACTATAGACTGGACTATAGGCTAGACTATAGACTGGACTATAGGCTAGACTATAGACTGGACTATAGGCTAGACTATAGACTGGACTATAGGCTAGACTATAGACTGGACTATAGGCTTGACTATAGAGTAGACTATAGACTAGATTATAGACTAGATTATAGACTAGATTATAGACTAGATTATAGACTAGATTATAGACTAGATTATAGACTAGACTGTAGACTAAACTATAGACTAGAGTATAGACTATAGGCTAGAGTATAGACTAGACTATTCTAACGTCTTAATTAAATTCTTAAATTTCTCGCTTCAGCACCGACCAACAAATCCAACAAACTATACAACAGAATTTCGCCCATTGTACTGTAATTACTGTGGCCCATCGCTTAAAAACCGTTATGAAATCAGATCGTATAATGGTTTTAGATAATGGCGAGCTGAAAGAATTCGGTATACCCCATATATTGCTGCAAAAACCTAATGGTTATCTACAACAAATGGTAAAAGCTACGGGGGAGGAGGCCAATAACCTAATAGAAATGGCCAAGGAATGCTATAATGGAGAGTAAAGTTTTTAAGTTTAAGGTAATAAGTGTGAGGAGAAATTTTTGAATTCGTTGAACTATTGTTGTATTAATTTATGTGTAAACATTATATAAAGAAAAAAATCTGTAATAATTCTTAAAAAAAAACGTTTTTTAATAAATATTTCTTTTAAATAACTGTAAGAGATATGTTTTATTTATTTTTCTCATTTCGCTTGCAGTTGCTGTCTGTAAATAAAATTACCAAATGGCAAGCTAGCGTTTTTTTTCTCATACTCATACACACTGGCAACCTTCTTCTGTACAAACAGCTGTCAAATACATCTCTGTCTCTACAGAATTATATTTATACAGTACTTTTAACAATATACAAACAATTGCACGTGCTGGATTTAGAATTTAATTTTCCAAGTTTCTTTTTTTTGTAAATTTTCTTAATTTACAGTTAAGAATACTTCCAATCAGTGTCAAAAATATATCCACATACTAGCGGTAGGTAGTAACTATAAAAATGGATCCCTATATGGAACATATAAATAAACATTTGTCTAATTTTAGTCAATTTGCCGGTCAGTTTACTAAAGCTTTTATACCTATCGTTGATACAGCCCTAAAAATGTCCACGCCAGGAGAGCCGGTCTCAGCTTATGGTGTTTTTAAGGCAGCCAAAGATATGGCTGATAACAAAAAGAAATCAAATAAAAAACAAAATGGTTCAGTGAAAGCTAAACAGGTCTATATGGGTAAAGTTAAGAAATTGGCTTGTGCTCCCGCTACGGGAGGCACAAAAGCGGCTGGTAAGTTGCAAACTTTAAATATGAGTGGTCAGGCCAAGACCTTAAGCACAAAAACCAAAAGCAGCTCAAATTCGGCGAAGAATAAACAAACAAATGGCAAGAAATCTACTAAAACCGCAGCAGCCGGGAAGAAAACTCAACCTGCAAACTTTAAGGGATCTGAAGTAGTTAATTTGGTGGACCAACTTTATACAGATGATGCCAAGAAACTAACTAAAGCCGAACAGAAAAAGAAAAAGGATTTAGAGGAGTATTTAGTAAATCAATTAGAAATGGATGATGCTAACTTAGAGGAGGCTGAGGATGATAGTTTTGAGAGTGAGGACGAGGAAGGTTCCGAGGAAGAAGGTTCTTATTCTGATTCAGATGTCTACTCGGATGAATATTCCATAAATGAAAGTGGCAGTTATACAGATGAGGAAACTGGTGAAAATGAAGACAATACGGCCTCCTATACTGATCAAGAATCTTCTAGCACCAATGAAGATGATAATCAAGCTGCCGAAGCTTTAGCCCAAGCTATACTAGCTAAGGCTAATAAAAAGAGGAAAAGTCCAGAAACCACTCAATCGAAAACCAAATCTGTGTCCATAGAAGCCAAAAAATCCAAGAAAGTTGAAGAAACTAAGCCGGCAGCACGCAAATCTTTGCCTGCCACCAAAACCGATAAAGTTATAAACGAAGAAACCAAACGTAGACGTTCTTCTTTGGCCTCTATAGATGATTTTTCCAAGAAATCTACACCCAAGACCGCCAACAGCAAAATCTCCACCACGGCCAATGTTAAATTGGAACCTTTATCGCCTCCAGCTAATATAGTCAAACTAAATAGTATTGAAGAGGGTAAAAGAGCCTTTAAATGGCTTTTAAATCCGGTTACCGTAGATGACTTTTTCGCCAAATATTGGGAACAGAAGGCCTGTTTGATTAAGCGTCAACAGTCTAACTATTTTGGTCATTTGATTTCTTTCGAGGCCATCGATCAAATGTTGCTGAAAAATCATGTGGAATTTACCAAGAATATAGATGTTACTTCCTACAAAAATGGTGAGAGAAAAAAGAATTTTTAAACTTTTTGGAAATTTTCGATTTTTTAGAAATTGTCTCTTTTTTTAAATTCTTTCAAAATTTTCTCTTTTTTCGAAATTTCGAAATTTTCTCTTTTTTCCATAATCTAGGCGTCCGTGAAACTTTAAACCCCGAGGGTCGTGCCATGCCTCCTGTGGTCTGGGATCATTATGGTCAAGGCTGCAGTATACGTTTACTTAATCCACAAACCTTTTTGCCAGGTCTGTTCACACTGAGTACCACCATGCAGGAATACTTCCACTGTTTGGTAGGAGCCAATGCTTATCTAACGCCACCAAACAGCCAAGGTTTTGCTCCTCACTACGATGATATAGAAGCTTTCGTTTTACAAATTGAGGGACGCAAACGCTGGAAGCTATATAAACCACGCAATACTTCGGAAATATTGCCACGTTATTCTTCCAAGAATTTCACACAACAGGAGATTGGTAAACCGGTGCTAGAGGAAGTATGTTTATTACTGTTTTGATTTGACATTTCTTTAACTAATTGAAAATGTTTTACTTTTAGGTTTTGGAACCCGGTGATGTTTTGTATTTCCCCCGTGGTACTATACATCAAGCTTGCACTGAACCTGGCTACCATTCCTTGCATATAACCTTGAGTGTTTATCAGAAACAGTCGTTTGCTGATTTGTTTGAGAAAATGTTACCACTTATGCTGCAAAAGGCCATTGCTTCCAGTGTGGACTTGAGAAGAGGTTTACCTTTACATGCCTGGCAACATGCCGGCATCGCTTACAGTGATAATGATACTAAGGAACGCGCGGATTTAACCAAAAAAGTCACCCAGCTAATGCATAAATGCTTGCGTGATCTACCTTTACAGGAGATAATGGATGCAGGCATAGATCAATTGGCCAAGAAGTTTCAACATGAGGCCTTGCCTCCAGAAATTTTACCAGCTGAAAAATTGCGCACTGTTTTTGGTTCCCGCAGTCGCACCAATGAACGTGGTGAATGTGAGTGTGATTATGATATTGATGAACGCACCAATGTGCGCTTGCTGAGAGCAAATATCTTGCGTTTGGTGGAGGAAGAGGAAAAGATACGCATCTACTATTATTTGGATAATTCCAAGGAATATTGTGAATACGAGCCCAACTTTATAGAAATCGAAGCCATGGAGGCGGCCAGTGTAGAGGTATTAATTAAATCTTATCCCCAATATGTGGGAGTATCACAATTGCCCTTGCATTCGGATGATCAAAAGATTACTTTGGTCACCGCCTTATGGGAAAGGGGTTTGCTGATGATGGAGAAACCTTTTAGGTAAATGTGGAGAAAATCAAAAGACAAGTCTGTTAGTTAAGAGTGTCAAGAGTGATTAATTTTGTATGTATGTACTTTCCTAATATTTGTAATTGAGAAGATATTTGATTTTATTATTATTGTTTTAAACTGATTTTTATTTTAATTGTTTGAAAGAGAAAACTATAAAGAAAATAAACGCATGATGTTAAAAAAATCAAAATATATTTTTTTTTATTTTAACAAAATTTTTTTTATTTTGTTATTTTTCGAAATTTTTTCTTTTTTTAGATTTTTTTTTAATTTTTTTTTTTTTGAAAAATTTTAAACATTTTTCAAATTTTCTATTTTTTAAAATTTTCTCTTTTTCTGAAAATTTTTCAAAATTTTCAATCTTTTTAACAATTTTTTTTTGTTTTTTAGTAAATTTTTCTATTTTTTTCAAACTTCTCTCTTTTTTAAAAAAATTTTCTCTTTTTTTAAGATTTTTCTTTTTAAAAAAAGTTATTTCAAAATTTTCTTTTTAGAAAATTTTGTCTAAATTTTCTCTTTTTTTCAATTTTTTAAAAATTTTCTCTCTTTAGTTTTTTTTCCAAAATTTTCTCTTTTTTTCAGATTTTTTTTTTCAAAATTTTTTCTTCTTTTAGAAATTTTTTAAAATTTCTCTCTTTTTAAATAAATTTTCTGTATTTTTAGAAAATGTTTCCCAAATTTTCAAATTTTTTATATTCTCTTAAGAAAATTGTTAATATTTTAGCGTTTTAATTGTTAAACGAATAAAATTGTATTTAAAATCTTATAAAATACATGAGAAATACGGATTTCTCTCGATTTAAATTCAATTCGCCTTGCACTTCCATCTTAATATTCGCTCTAAACAAATCCGTTAAAATTTTACTCATAAAGTTTGTCAATCCCTGCTTTTGATATCAATAATAATTTCCGTTTCTTTCATTTTTCACAAATGTACTGTATAAACCAAATAAATTTCCCTGACAGCTGTAACTATGTTATCAATTCCATGTGATTATTTTCTAACAAGAAGCCACAAACAACAGCTGTTCGAAAAAAATATTCTGCTTGCACAACAATCCTCGAAATTTTACAATTTCTCAAAAAAATTGTTAAATTTTAATTAAAAAACATGCGTCTTACAAATATTTTATTGAAAAAAGTGAAAAGCAAGTAAGTTTTAATGAAATAATATAAAATGCCTGCTATTTACTAAAATATATAATTGTTCTTTTGCATTTTAAAACAGACGCATCATGGTCGTGGTTGAGAGTGTGGTTACCGGCCATAAATTCAACACCGTACGCGATCGTTTAGCGGATAAAATTGAATTGGTGCGCTTTGATCCTTACAGTAAGTGTTAAATGAAATTTTTATTACTATTAACTAAATATATTCATTTCAACTTTTAGTTCAAAAGGATTGTGTTTATCGTGAGCGCAAGAGGATTCGTAGTGCCTAAGTTAGTTGCTTTATTATGCCCAGATTATGTTTATTAGTTTAACTAAATATTTACGTGTTTTAAAATAAAAGTTCTAGAAAAAAGTATATTAATTATTTTTTGAAACCAGAAACAAGAAAACCCATTTTCCCGCCCAGTCTAATGAAAAGTGAGTAAATAAATTTTTTTAAATTGTTAATGTAATTTTAATGCAATGACAAAAAAACTGAAGAATTCCGAAGAGATGTATAATACAAAGATAGTAAGTACAGAAAGTGCTAAGAGCATTATTTCTAAAAACAAGCAAACTTTTCCAAACTAGTCCGCAAAGTAAGTTCCTTTACTCTATTCAAAGGTGTGGTCGTTGGTCTTGTCCATTCAACAGTCGAATATGTGGTCTGGCCTTTAGTTATCACTTATTTATAGTTCAGTACTAGTTCAGATCAAGTTCACTTCTAGCTCAGTTCTCCTTTAATTCTAATTCAGTTCTGGTTCAATTCTAGTTAAGTTCTATTCCAGTTCGATTCTAATTCAGTTCTAGTCCATTTCTAGTTCTGTTTAGTTCGTTACTGGTTGCAGTTCTGTTCCAGATCTGTTTTATATTTGTTGTAGATGTGTTCCAGTTCTGTTCTAGTTCTGCTGTAGATCTGTTCTAGTTCTGTTTTAGTTCAGTTCATGTTCTGTTCTAATACCCTTCTAGCTCTTCTCTAGTTCTGTTCTAGTTAAGTTCTTGTGTTGTTTTAATTCTGTTCTAGTTATGTTGTAGTTCTCCTCTGGTTCTATTCTATTTTTGTTCTAGTTCTGTTCTAATTCTATTCTAGTTTTGTTCTGGTTCTGTTTTAATTCTGTTCTAGTTCTATATTAGTACTGTTCAAGTATATTCTAGTCTGTTCTAGCTCTGTTTTAGTTCTATTCTAGTTCTGTTTTAGTTCTATTCTAGTTCTGTTCTAGTTCTGTACTAATTCTGTTATATTTCTATTCTAGTTCTGTTTTAGTTCTGTTTTAGTTCTGTTCTAGTTCTGTTCTAGTTCTGTTCTAGTTCAGTTCTAGTTCTGTTCTAGTTCTGTTCTAATTCTGTTATAGTTCTATTCTAGTTCTATTTAAGTTCTATTCTAGTACTATTTTAGTTCTGTTCTAGTTCTGCTCTAGTTCAGTTCTAGTTCTGTTCAAGTTCTATTCTAGTTCTGTTCTAGTTCTTTTCAAGTTCTGTTCTAGTTCAGTTCTAGATCAGTTATAGTTCTATTCTAGTTCAGTTTTAGTTTTGTTCTAGTTCTGTTTTAGTTCTGCTCTAGTTCTGTTCTAATTCTGTTTTAGTTCTATTGTAGTACTGTTTTAGTTTAATTCTAGAACTGTTTTAGTTCAGTTCTAGTTCTGTTTTAGTTCTGTTCTAGTTCAGTTCTAGAACTAGTTCTGTTCTAGTTCTAGTTCAGTTCTAGTTCAGTTCTGGTTCTGTTCTAGTTCTGTTCTAGTTCTGTTCTAGTTCTGTTCTAGTTCTGTTCTAGTTCAGTTCAAGTTCTAGTTCAGTTCTAGTTCAGTTCTAGTTCAGTTCTAGTTCAGTTCTGGTTCTGTTCTAGTTCTGTTCTAGTTCTGTTCTAGTTCTGTTCTAGTTCTGTTCTTGTTCTGTTCTAGTTCTGTTCTAGTTCTGTTCTAATTCTGTTCTAGTTCTGTTCTAGTTCTGTTCTAGTTCTGTTCTAGTTCTGTTCTAGTTCTGTTCTAGTTCTGTTCTAGTTCTGTTCTAGTTTTGTTCTAGTTCTGTTCTAGTTATGTTTGAGTTCTGTTCTACTTCTGTTATAGTTCTATTTTAGTTCTGTTTTAGTTCTGTTCTAGTTCTGTTCTAGTACTGTTTTAGTTTAATTCTAGAACTGTTTTAGTTCAGTTCTAGTTCTGTTTTAGTTCTGTTCTAGTTCTGTTCTAGTTCTGTTCTAGTTCAGTTCTAGTTCAGTTCTAGTTCTAGTTCAGTTCTAGTTCAGTTCTGGTTCTGTTCTAGTTCTGTTCTAGTTCTGTTCTTGTTCTGTTCTAGTTCTGTTCTAGTTCTGTTCTAGTTCTGTTCTAGTTCTGTTCTAGTTCTGTTCTAATTCTGTTCTAGTTCTGTTCTAGTTCTGTTCTAGTTCTGTTCTAGTTCTGTTCTAGTTCTGTTCTAGTTCTGTTCTTGTTCTGTTCTAGTTCTGTTCTAGTTCTGTTCTAATTCTGTTCTAGTTCTGTTCTAGTTCTGTTCTAGTTCTGTTCTAGTTCTGTTCTAGTTCTGTTCTAGTTCTGTTCTAGTTCTGTTCTAGTTTTGTTCTAGTTCTGTTCTAGTTATGTTTGAGTTCTGTTCTACTTCTGTTATAGTTCTATTTTAGTTCTGTTTTAGTTCTGTTCTAGTTCTGTTCTAGTACTGTTTTAGTTTAATTCTAGAACTGTTTTAGTTCAGTTCTAGTTCTGTTTTAGTTCTGTTCTAGTTCTGTTCTAGTTCTGTTCTAGTTCAGTTCTAGTTCAGTTCTAGTTCTAGTTCAGTTCTAGTTCAGTTCTGGTTCTGTTCTAGTTCTGTTCTAGTTCTGTTCTTGTTCTGTTCTAGTTCTGTTCTAGTTCTGTTCTAGTTCTGTTCTAGTTCTGTTCTAGTTCTGTTCTAATTCTGTTCTAGTTCTGTTCTAGTTCTGTTCTAGTTCTGTTCTAGTTCTGTTCTAGTTCTGTTCTAGTTTTGTTCTAGTTCTGTTCTAGTTATGTTTGAGTTCTGTTCTACTTCTCTTTATTGTTCTATTTTAGTTCTGTTTTAGTTCTGTTCTAGTTCTGTTCTAGTTCTGTTCTAGTTCTGTTCTAGTTCTTCTAGTTCTGTTCTAGTTCTGTTCTAGTTCTGTTCTAGTTCTGTTCTTGTTCTTGTTCTGTTCTAGTTCTAGTTCTGTTCTAGTTCTGTTCTAGTTCTGTTCTAGTTCTGTTCTTGTTCTTGTTCTGTTCTAGTTCTGTTCTAATTGTGTTTTAGTTCTGTTCTAGTTTTGTTCTAGTTCTGCTCTAGTTCTGTTCTAGTTCTGTTCTAGTTATGTTTGAGTTTTGTTCTACTTCTGTTATAGTTCTATTTTAGTTCTGTTTTAGTTCTGCTCTAGTTCTGTTCTAGTTCTGTTCTAGTTCTGTTCTAGTTCTGTTCTAGTTCTGTTCTAGTTCTGTTCTAGTTCTGTTCTAGTTCTGTTCTAGTTCTGTTCTAGTTCTGTTCTAGTTCTGTTCTAGTTCTGTTCTAGTTCTGTTCTAGTTCTGTTCTAGTTCTGTTCTAGTTCTGTTCTAGTTCTGTTCTAGTTCTGTTCTGGTTCTGTTCTAGTTCTGTTCTATTTCTGTTTTAGTTCTGTTCGAGTTCTGTTCTACTTCTGTTATAGTTCTGTTTTAGTTCTGTTGTAGTTCTGTTTTAGTTCTGTTGTAGTTTTGTTTTCGTTCAGTTCAAGTTCAAGTCTATTCAGTTCTATTTTAGTTGTTTTTATTGTTAGCAGGCGTATGATCATTATATGACATTCTAAATAATACTCATACGTCCCCTTGGATTGAATCAATTTCAATAACAACGAGAAGTTTAAGAAACTTGTTTATTTTACTCATAAGTCCTCCTTATCTAAGTTGTGTTTATCATTGTGTCATTATCTATAGAAATGATAGCAACACAGAGAGAAGGCGAAAAGGATATGAGGATAAAAGGTATTTATAACAAAATTATAAATATATATCACTCATACGCCTACTACAATTTAAGTTGCTATTTATTGAGGACAATTGGTGGTGATAAGAAAAATTAATTTATTTTCTAACCTTGAACAAACTGAAAACTTTTAAATCTAATTAACGTTAGTTTTTCAAAATCCACGGAAAACAAATAAAAAGTAAAAAAAAGTGAGAAAAGAACCTCAAACACTTTTGTCTGTTACTAATTTAGTTATCACAATAAGAAAACGTTAAACAAAAGGAAGTCTTACAAATAATTCAAAACTTTTCCTTTCTTTATACAATGCCAAGGCCAATGTTAAAAAAAAAACAAACAAATACAAACGTATTTAAACAGAAATCAATTGAAACCTTACATTTGTTAAATTTACACTAAAAAACAAAGAACATAACGTAAGGAAGTAACCAAACAGTTTTTAATGAAATGCATACATATTTACAAATATTAAAGAAAAACCCGTGAATAATTAGATTTTTAAAATCTAAAAAATTTTGTAAAAATTGTTCAATACCTTCAAATGTTTAACTTTTAGCCACTTTTCGAACTGCGTTCAACAGTGTTCAAAACCGTAAAAGAGAAATGGAGAGGACGATAGCAGGAGAAAAATAGGAACTACGCTTTTAAATGGCGCACAACACCACAAGGCTACTTGTAACTTTCTAATAAACACATACATTAACACCCACATTTAACCACTACAACGCCCTTTATATGCGTGTGTGTAAGTGTAATGTGTGCGCAACTAAATTTTTAGTACATTTCCGTTTTTATTTTTCGATTTGTTTTGTAAAATTGGCGGTCAATAGTGCGTTTATTGTAAAGTTCGTTAGTGGTTCGAGGACTCAGATTTTTTTCTGTTGGCCTTTATGATGGACACTTCATTTGCCATCATCAAACATGTGGTATTAAGGGAGGCATATAAACATTAAAAAGCAAAATGCAAAAACTTTTCAAAAATTTTCAGTTGTAATATTGCAACATTATACTTATGAGGAGGGTATCTGTAATAGTTTACGTCAATGATTATAAGCATGAGCTGATTCAAAAGAGGCTTTTTAAAGAAACAAAATAATATTTTACTTTAGCCTTAGTTCGGATCTAGGTCAATTATAGTTCTGATTCTTGTTCAGTTCTAGATCAGTTCTGTTCTAGTTCTGTTCTAGCTTTGTTGTAATTCTTTCTAGTTCTGTTCTAGTTGTGTTCTAGTTCTGTTCTAGTTCTGTTCTAGTTCTGTTCTAGTTCTGTTCTAGTTCTGTTCTAGTTCTGTTCTAGTTCTGTTCTAGTTCTGTTCTAGTTCTGTTCTAGTTCTGTTCTAGTTCTGTTCTAGTTCTGTTCTAGTTCTGTTCTAGTTCTGTTCTGTTCTAGTTCTGTTCTAGTTCTGTTCTAGTTCTGTTCTAGTTCTGTTCTAGTTCTGTTCTAGTTCTGTTC